TCCCTGAAAATTTGGGAGATTACAGTGAAGAACAAGTAGAACGATTCCATCAAGATCTGAAAGAATTTGAGCGTCGTTATCAAGGAAGATGGGATGTAAATATGATGGCCGACTACTGTTGGATGCTGAAAAGGGATATTGTCCCTGGAGGCACCAATTTGAAAAGAAAACCATTACACAGATCCTTTGAGGACAAAAGAGTGCGCTACCATAAAAAGACGTGAATACCTTACTTATGTATATAAGAATTTCCATTTCTAGTTTTGAAAATCTAACTTCAGATTCGTAATCAGCGACCCAAAAAACCCCAAGATACATAGGAAATGACTAGTCTGGTCTGCCGCGCACGACACTTTTTTTTGTGGGGCTGTGTTCTTTTTAAATCTTTACATTAATTAAGTAAGTCAATAATTAACCTATTTTTTCATCTTACTGGACATTTAATTTCAACGCAACACCTCTTTTGAACTCCATATATTAAAAGAGTCCTTTTCATTGCATCGATTCCCAAAGTCTTACTAATTTCCAGTTCTTCTAAGTTTGAGTCAATCAAACCATCTGGGATGCTCCTAAAAACTCATGAACTGGATCAATCCAAAAACCCTCAAAAACATGTTTTTTGTGTATTTTCAAAGTCAGTTTTCTCGAAAACGTAGGGTGATGGAGCAATTCTAAGTTTAGATTCGTCTTCAGCCTCAAAAAACCTGTAAGAATCACCATATGGGATCTCAGAAATAAACATGCTGTTGCACTGTGTTAAAAATGTAACAAAATAAATATTAAGGTTATTTTTATATTATAGGTACATATTATATTACTATAATTTCATTATTATCAATACTACCTATAATTTAACGTAATACGATAATATAAAAAAAATTACAGACAGGGCACGGTGCGCCAGAAGGTGGTTTAAATAAAAATGAATTGTCACTTAAAAATTCTTTTTGATTATGATATATAATTAATTATGATTAATTAATTATGATATATAATTTTTGATTATCTTATATAAATTTCCTAAATGCTAAAGATTATACGAATCCATACAAAAACACAATTGCAAAACGAAAAGTAATATAATGACAGGTACATTACCTCCTGCCGCCGTCAGATGGCAGCAGCATGCAGGGCGCACAAAGTCGCAGCTGTTATTAGATTACTTTTCTACTTTTTGTTTTGCAACCATGTTTTTCTATGGATTCGTACAGTCTTTTGGATCATTTTCACGTTTAGTGCCGTTTTTATAGAGCGATAATTAAAGGTCTCTTCTTGCCAAAAAATTTGAGAGACCATTCGACTCTCTTAAATAAATTTTGTCACTCTTAACATCGTTCTTTTAACATTATAATTTAATTTTTTAAAATTGGACACAAACACTACAGCAATATAATTATTCATATGTAAAATTGAAAATAAATAATTATTTTACCATTTATTACAGTATTTATTAGATTAAATAAATTCTGATTCCCCATAAAACACTGTTTTTATATAAAAACTCAATTTTATTTAAATCGGGCACGTAAACTGATTTTAAAAACTATTGAGAAATGTTTGTTATTCATCTAAGAATCATAATCAAAAAGAATTTTTAAGTGCCAATTCATTTTTATTTAAACCACCTTCTGGTGTACCGTGAGGGCAACTCATGCCCAACAACATACTCTGTATAACATATTTCCACCACATACTTGCCAGATTAAATCTTTTCCTATTTTAATGCAATGTTTCGCTTTTTCAGATGAAGTGTTTTTCCGTGTTATTTTAGGAACTCGCAGTTAGTGAACACCAACATGAATTTGGAATATTTTAGAATTTGTGTATAATTACTCTAAACTAAATGAATATAATTCTTATATTATAATTTAATCTTCTAAGATGGTTCTTAAATATACCAAATCATAAAAAATTTAACTTATTATACGGGATATTGTCAAATTTCAGAGTGGCTACATGTCAGTACAGTCAGGGAAATGTTAGGGAAAAAATTTTTTGTCAGTAAAGTCAGGGAAATGTCAGGGAAAAAATTTTTTTGGCAGGGAGATTATTTGAAACTAAAGTTACCAACGTTGATTCAACGAAAAAATCAAAGTTAAGGATTCTAATTCCCATCAATAAAATTTGATTATTTTCAACCCTTCAAAACCTGAAATAACAAAAACAGTATTTGTCATTGTTTTGTCACGGATTTTCCGAAAATCTCAAAATTTCAAGTAAATTGCTATTTCCTCGACTTTGGTAGCAATTTTTCTCGTTTGATAATTATTTGTTTCAATGCTGGAAGTATTTAAAAAAAAGAAAAATTGCTTTTAAGTCGAGGAAAGCAGTGATTTTGATGTCAGGAAAATTGATAAAGTCAATCATGCGGCCACCATCAATTAGTAACGAATTTCTACACATACCAATGTAGAATTTTTCAGTATTCAAATATAAGGAAATTGTCATTCTGTTTGATATGTAATTTTAAATCAAAAAAAGCCTCCATATGCCTCTCGATTTTTAATAACGATAATTAAATTATTTAATATTTTTTATTTGTAAATAACATTATTATTGTTAAAGAGTCGAAAAAGTTTATTAGAAAGTTATATGTTAAATATGCTTCAGAAATAAATTGAAAATTTTTAATATAAACTACCCATACAGCACTTAAACATGTAAATAATATTGGTAACATTGTCTTATTATTTTAATATTGTAGTTACATTGCAGAAATCATATAAATGTTAAGGCATTGATGGCAATAATGCTACAATTTTTGATGCAGTGAGAGAACAATAAATCTAAATTCCAAATTGTGCTTAAAAGTCAGAAGTATTTTTTAAATAGCAAAATTTGTAATTTCAAATTTATTTTAACTATAACAATTATAAGAAACTAAAGACTCAAAAGTGATAAAATGTTAACAATTTGAAGGTATACATAAGAATATGTACAAAAATATGATCTTAGAAAAATTAAAATATTTTGGAAAAATTTTTTCTCAATGACTTTGAAAAAAATCACATTTTGTTAGATTTAAAAAAATCTGAAATCTTCATTAAATGTATTCCTTACATATTTCATATTTAATTTTACGAATGTGATTAATTTTCAATTAATTAATATAAAACTAATATTAAAAAAATTAATTTTGTACATTTTTTGATATGGAATTATAATAATAAGAAATCGACCGTGTTATTAGAAACTGATGTCGTGTTATTTTCTCCAGTTCAGAGTAATTCAAAAATGTATTAATGTCTTTTTCTTCTCATAAAATATATGCCTTAAAAATTATAAATTCATGTTAAATTTTTAAAGTGTGGAATTTTGTTTTACAATTGCCGTACACAAAGTCTTCGCCTCTTGTTCATCCTTCAGCATCATATTTCGTGCTCAAACTTAGTACGAACATGTATTTCTATGCGCTTAGATTATATTAAAAGTATGAAAAACATCATTGGAATTCATTAATGATACGATTTTAAGAAAGATGTTTTTTATCAAGATTCTATGTTCAAATTCATATTAAGCTTAGTTTTTGCGGACGAATTTTCTGTAACCTGTGAGGAAGGTGTATGATTTCTTCAAATTATAAATAAAATATAGTGAAGTTAAATGAAATTGATTTTAAAGGAATTTGCTTCTGAAAAACGAAAAATTTTGAAAAAAGTAAAAACTCTGTATTAAGGTGTACTGTTATAAATAAATTAAACTAAAAATATAACTAAAAAAAATGTTTAATTAATTCACAGTATTAATTTCATTATTACTTACAATATTTTATTGTTTATTAATTTAATTATTGTGAAATTTAATAATCTTTAAACTATTATTTAATTATTCCCAATGGGCACGGTCATCCACTGGATGTACCAAGGACATTACTTAGCCATTTTCAACATATTTTTGATACATTCTCGGGACATATTTAGGACATTCTCAGGATATGGTTGGAACATTTTTAGGATACTCTGTGAACAATTTTTGATATTTCAGGGATATTTTTAGGACATTCTGGGGACCTTCTGAAGACGTATTAACCCCTTTTTGGAGACAATTTCAGTACATTCTTAAGACGTTTTTTGACATTTCGGGGATATTTTTAGGAAATTCTGGGGACTTTCTATAGTCCTAATAAAGACATTTTTGGGACAATTTTAGGACATTCTTAAGACTGTTATATCAAGTTATGACGAGGATAGGATAACCTCCCAATTTTGTTTTGTACAAAAAGAAATAATATTTTATTTTGTACATAAAGTAAAAAAAATTTTAAATGAAAAAAAAATGATTTATTTTTTTATCTATGAAAGATTTTATTGCACGAATTTTTGGTTTTTCGTAAAAATTATGTACGTAGACAACTCTCGAGTTAAAATGGACCTTCTAACAGGCCACCCTTGAGCACCAGGTGTATTTTAACACCTTCTCCAGGGAATTTCGGAATTTTTCAAATAAATTGAGTACACTGAATACTCAAGAGATACATTTAACGCCCTAATTAACACTCGTTAACCACCAGGTGCTTTTTAGCACCATCTACAGGGAATTTTTGCCTTTAAAAAAAGTTAACCATGTAGATCGTTCTCGAGACAGTTTAAAATCCGCGCCCACAACTTTACAGCATCAGATGCCTTTTAACACTTATTGAAGGGAATTTCTGCCTTTTTTAAAAGAAATTAAACATTTTATTGATTGATGTCAATTCATGATTTAACTAGTGATTATTTAAAAATTTTTGATGAAAATTTTGAAATTTTTTAATGATAAAAGTGAACACATTAAAATAGAAAGGGAAAAGTGTAAATGACAAAGGTAAGTAATTTCACATTTATGACAGGTAAGTTCTATTTTATTTGTAATTAATTAAAAAGGTTTTTATTTTTATTTTTGAAAACTTTGAATGTTACTTTTGGAAAGTATCTATTTCCAAAAAGTTAGACATCTACAAATTTTATAGTAACTACACATTAAAAAATTGATGTATGGATGGCATTTTGAGTGTGATTACTACCATACCATGTAAAGCCATTCACACAAGAAAATACGTTACAGCTTGCAGGAATACGTTTCACATGAGATAAAAAAGACAATATCGTTCTGTCCTTCTCTATCTAATTTCAAACGCATCCAACATACTGCAACAAATTTTCTTGTGCGAGCAGCTTAAAGAACTTGACAACATCGAGATATTTTAGATTTGGTTTTGCATTCTTGTATCAAACAATAACCAGCTAATTATGTATTCAGCTTACAATCTGTACAAGAATTTAAATTTTATTTAAAATGTAAGGAGGAAAAGCAACTTTTTGAAATTTTAAATAAACTGCAACTAGTCAACTATCTTTTCTCTGTACTACAGAAAAAAGAGAATTAGAATTAATATTACTATTACACAGAATTCTGTAACACAAAATTGATTTAAGAGTAAAAAATTGTAACGCTTTGGCCAGAAAAAGGATTCAAAAGAAGGAACTTATTTGTAATCTAGTATTCGATGTTGAATCAATATTGAATTCTTTCCAGTTCCGTTGAGAGTCTGAAAATAATTTTAAGTTATTTTTCAAAATTTCAAAATAAAAAGGAGCGATAGGAATATAAATTAAGTATAATTACATAGAGATTTATAAACCCTAACAATTGAAACAGGGTAGTTTTGTCGTACGACTTTCAGTTATTATTTCTTTCTAAATGACTTGGATTAGAAGAGATGGATAGAATAAAAGGATGATAATTATATACAGGATTTCGTCTAATTTTGAAAAAGCAGTTGACAAATCATCTTCAACATTTACAAATTCAAAATACGTTTTACATTCTTGTAGCGCGCAGTATCTGGACAACAATGCGTCACTTGTACAACGTCTACAAGAATTCGAATCCTAAAAAATTTGCAAATGTTGGTGAAATATTCAGAATGTAGATATGCTTTTTCGATGATAGGATTAGGATTCAGGGGCTGGACCAATTTGAAACCATGATGATGTCTCAATAACTGTTGATTCTATTTTTAGTTGATAACCTAAAAATTTCATTTCATTATTTAAGGAATTTGTTTTCAAATTTTCATTAAGAAACGTTTGTTTTAATACATATAATGATTCGACTTATTGAAAAAGGGATAGTTAAATATTAATACCTAGAGATTTTTAACAGCCGGATGCTTAAATAGAACAGCTTGAGGGTTCAAGTTGTAGTTTATATCATATCCAAATCCTTTGACTTAAACTTGTGTTGGTGTAAGTTGATGGAGTTAACAGGTAATGATCGAGGAAGAATTTCTCTAGTTATTCAAATGCTAATGGCAGATCTTCTTCAACAATTACAAATTCAAGATACCGTTTACATTCTTGTAGCGCGCAGTATCTGGACAACAATGCGTCACTTGTACAACGTCTACAAGAATTCGAATCCTAAAAAATTTGCAAATGTTGGTGAAATATTCAGAATGTAGATATGCTTTTTCGATGATAGGATTAGGATTCAGGTGCTGGACCTATTTGAAACCATGATGATGTCTCAATAACTGTTGATTCCATTTTTAGTTGATAACCTAAAAATTTCAATTCATTATTTAAGGAATTTGTTTTTAAATTTTCTTTATGAAATGTTTATTTTAATACATATAATGATTCGACTTATTGAAAAAGGGATAGTTAAATATTAATACCTAGTGATTTTTAACAGCCGGATGCTTAAATAGAATAGCTTGAGGGTTCAAGTTGTAGTTTATATCATATCCAAATCCTTTGACTTAAACTTGTGTTGGTGTAAGTTGATGGAGTTAACAGGTAATGATCGAGGAAGAATTTCTCTAGTTATTCAAATGCTAATGGCAGATCTTCTTCAACAATTACAAATTCAAGATACCGTTTACATTCTTGTAGCGCGCAGTATCTGGACAACAATGCGTCACTTGTACAACGTCTACAAAAATTCGAATCCTAAAAAATTTGCAAATGTTGGTGAAATATTCAGAATGTAGATATGCTTTTTCGATGATAGAATTAGGATTCAGGTGCTGGACCAATTTGAAACCATGATGATGTTTCAATAACTGTTGATTCTATTTTTAGTTGAAAACCTAAAAATTTCAATTCATTATTTAAGGAATTTGTTTTCAAATTTTCTTTAAGAAACGATTGTTTGAATACATATAATGATTCGACTTATTGAAAAAGGGATAGTTAAATATTAATACCTAGTGATTTTTAACAGCCGGATGCTTAAATAGAACAGTTTGAGGGTTCAAGTTGTTGTTTATATTATATCCAATTCCTTTGACTTAAACTTGTGTTGGTGTAGGTTGATGGAGTTAAAAGGTAATGATCGAGGAAGAATTTCTCTAGTTATTCAAATGCTAATGGCAGAGCTTCTTCAACAATTACAAATTCAAAATACGTTTTACATTCTTGTAGGGCGCTGTATCTGGACAACAATGCGTCACTTGTACAACGTCTACAAGAATTCGAATTCTAAAAAATTTGCAAATGTTGGTGAAATATTCAGAATGTAGATATGCTTTTTCGATGATAGGATTAGGATTCAGGTGCTGGACCTATTTGAAACCATGATGATGTCTCAATAACTGTTGATTCTATTTTTAGTTGATAACCCAGTAAAAAAAGATTTATTGAGCAAGCGATTTGGCTGATTGAGCAAGCCGTCTGCCCAATTGTCTAAACGACATTCGGACAATTGGACTGTTTGCTCAATCATCCAATGCATTATGCCCAATCACCAACATTGTATTTCGCGTCTAATAAAAGAAGAAATCGGTCCGAGTGTTGAGAAAATGATAAATCATGAATAATTATTGTTAAAAAGCAAGAAGTAATATATAAAAATACCTGAAATAAGAATAAATAACGAGTTTTGTAAAATGTTATTTTTGAGTTGACAGTGCACTGATGTAATATGAATTTTGTCGGTAAAAGTGAGGAGTATGATAAAGAGAAACGTTTCTTTATCGACTCGTGATACATTTCAATTGATAATAAAAAATTGTAGATTTCTTGTTTTTTTAAAAAATAAATAGAAATTTCAATTGAGTATTTAAAAATAAATTTTAATTGATTTAATTTAATTTAATTAGTGGATTAATGAATCAGTGAAGTGAATTAAATTAAATTAGGTTAAATACATTGAATAGTGGTAAGTAATTATATTTTGTAAAATTATTATTTATTAATAGAATTATATTCTTTGTTAATTTGTCTAGTATTATTCTTTTTACAAAAAAATAAGTATAAATAAAAACTGGTAAGTAAAATAATTGAATTTAATAATAATATATTTATATTATATTATACTAGCTGTCGCACCCGTCTTCGACGGTTATAATATTTAGATTTAATAAATTTTGAAATTTATAATTACATCCAACTATACGTGTTCTCCTGTATTAAAATATCTTTTTATAAATTTTTAATTATTATTTATTCAATTCAATTTAATTTTTTCACTGCTTTTAATAAAATTAAAATAATTTAAAATTGTACTTAATTTTATAGTATTGAAAATAAAAATTATTTTAATCAATACAATTTAAATTAAAATTTTAAAAAACTTTAAAAATTATTTGAAGAATAAATTTTTAATAGAAAAATATCTTTTAAATAAAATGAAAATAATTTAATTTTATTATATTTATTATATTATATTTAAGTTTATTTAGTTTATTTAGTTTTATTATATTTAAAAATAATTTGTATCTATAATAATAATAATAATAATAATAATATTCAATAATAATAATAATAATTTAAATATAATAATTGTTAATTTCAAAGAGTAAAAAAGTAATTTTCGATTTTTTATTTTTACAATATCTGATTTCATATTCAGATATGCAATTATTAATTTTAAAATTCTGATAAAATTCTTAAATTAAAATTCTTAAAATTTCTTGTTAAAAGCATACTTAATTGGTCACAAAATTTTAAATAAAGAACGTTTAGTAAAGAATTATCAAAAAATTAAAAATGTTAAATTTTTTAAATTTTTTGAAAGTATCATATTTTTGTTTAAATTAATATTTTTCATTGGTGTGCAGCTAAGATTGCGTTTAATACCCAACAGACTAAAAACATTATTGTTTTACTTATAAAAAGTTGAACATAACGAATTCTTATATTACAATGTTATTAAAAAAATTGGAAATTCAAAAATTTGATTTAGACTTTTAAATTCAGACTATTTACTTAATTTAATAAAAAAATTGATTGTATTTATGTGAAAAAATTAGGTACAAATAGTTTCAAATCAATCTGACAAAAAATAAAAAAATTTGCATTTTTTTGATTTTTTTAAATTTTTTGAAAAAATGTCATAACTTTCGTTCATGTTAATATTTTTTAATCAAATATGGCTAAGATTTTAAGTTACGTTAAGACTGAATACACTGCCAAGTTTCACCTCAATCGGTTGAGCCGTTTTAAAGTTGTGCCGGTACAAAATATTGACGACAGACAGACAGATTTTTTATTTATGGCATATTTGTTATCTTTACTACTTAAAATGATAAACTATGCAAGAAAAAATTAATTTGGAGCAATGTACAGACAAAAGTCTGATTTTATTAATATAGATTAAAAAAAACATACATTTTTTTACAAATATCTCAAGTTTCATGTTGAAAAATATTTTTCATTCAGCAAAATATGGACTGTGCCACAATTATCACCAGCAGCGTATACTTTTTTCTGAAATACACATATTATGTTTGGCTTATAGCACTCATACTGTTTCGTTTTTTAAATTAATTAATAACAACATTATTTTCGCTTACATATCATCGAAACAAGAACAATTAACACTTACAATAATATTAATCATAATAATACAATATAAATATTTTGAAAATACTGCTTCGTTAAATTTCATTACATTTTTTTTGTAATATATAACATGATTATAGTGTATTATATAACACTAAATACAATAATTTTATATTTTACAATAAAAAATAGCTTTTTTTATTCTGTTTCTTTCCTATACTCATATCCTTTCTTTAAGAAATTTGAAAATAGATTTTCGGTAAAAAAATTGCATAAATTTTTTGTAAATGTAAAAATGTAAATTTTAAAAATTTGATTAATTCAACAGCTTTCAATCAGTCACTTGATGAAGTATAATTCATTGAGAAAGTATAATTAAAAAAATTTCAAATAAAAAAATCAGTAAAAATTTGTAAAATTCAAACTTTTTTTAAAATAAAAATGTAACACTTTGTTTTTTAAATTTAGATAAAATTCATTATTTACATAAATTAATTGTTCTGTTTTTATACAAGAAAAAACCATTTTTTTTATAAAATTAAAAATAAATTTTTTCTTCTATTAATTTAAATAAAATGTTTAGTCTAGGTCGACAAATTTGTTCTAATGTAAATTATACGTTTTGTAATTGGAAAAATTTTCATAGCGCATAAAAAATGTTTTTACAATTTCTGAAAGGTCTCAAAAAAATGAAGTGGATATTTTCGAAAAATCCTTGTCAGATTATAAATCATTTTTAATTAATTAAGCCTGCGAAAGATTCAGGACGATTCGTCGAAACGTGTTTATAATAATTTGATTATAATACGCTTGTATAGTGGTACAATAAAAATACACTTGTCGAAATACTTGCGTGCAAGATAAATAGTTCGCAAAACGAGAAATTAACAAGGAATAAAAATATATTCATTTTTTACAAAAAACCATTGAGTAGTTTTTTGAATTTAAGGGATAAATTTTCACTACTGAGCTTCCAAAGCGTTTGGTATGTAACAAACATACTGCCTCGTTCCGAAATCTATCACTACAATTTTCGATTCTACATTTACAATAGGAACGTTATATGGTTGCAGAGGAGACGAAAGGACACTGAAAATGTGTTTCATTGTTACATTGCCGATTTTCAACAATTCAATGTTCAATTTATTGACATTTAAAGAACATGAACCATCGTTGTGTAAACAAATATCAATTATTTGAACTACATCGCCGTTTCGAAGTTTGACAACAGAATCATTAAACGATTTATTTTGAGAATATTTCACAGATGTCAAAATTTTACCATTGAACGTACATCGTAAAAATGTTCTAAAATCATTTTGACTGTCTTCCGATGCGTAAGATGCGAAGAAATTAACATTATTACTAGAAATTGCTTTCGCTGTAAAGCGTTTTTCAGTCATACAACTGTCACAAAAGTCACGTACGGCTTCTTGCATGTGGTTTCTTGGTCTCGTAAGTCTATATAACGTTCTGTGCAATGACTTCTTAGCCATCTGCTGCTCAGCACCCTTTGGACCTCTGACTGCTCTTTTTAGGATAAATATGTTACTTTCATATGGAAAGGCTGAAGTGGCCCACAAAGGTCCAGATTCCGAAGTATTTAGTGCTGCATGCGATCCTAGATGGACATTGAAAGTCATTGCAGACAAACCGTATATTATCTCCACGTATGCTGTAAACATCATCATGTCCTCTCTGCATTTTCGTATTTCCTCAGGAATAATCATTGTTTTTGACAAAGTATACATGGAGTTCACAAACAAAGCCTAATGCTCCAAAATAGGCAACAAAGTAGTTGGCAACACTTCGCGCAGAACAGGAATGCTATAATAGAGCATATAAGCTTTCCAATGTGTAGCTTTCCATAAACTTGTTTTACACAATTTCCCAGGAATTCTATGCACCTCATGAGGTGGCTGAATTTTTGTTAACAGTGAATCCACGTCAGCTCGTTGGGCTTTAGTTAATTTTGATCGCATCAAATCCCACATTTGTTCGGTAATTCCTAACACACCATTATGCATAAAGTCCAAGGAAAAACTTAAAACCATGTCAACGTTCGGGAAGTTACAAAACGACGATCTCCCTTTTACGCCATTGACAACTTTGCCTTCTTTTTCCGCCAGTTTCACATCATTCATGTGCGAATCATGCGTTCTTAATGCACAACAACTCCCAACAAAAGGAAACTTGACGCTTTTACAAAATAAGCCTATGATGTAACAGTAGCTACAACTGCAGTATGAATTAAATTGCATTCTGCACTGAAGAACTGCGCGAGCTACCGAGTCAGCAATGATGCACAATAATGTAAAAGTTATTGTTCTCTCAATATCATCTATTTTGAACTTGAATTTCATACCCTTCTCGTGTAATACACGAGCTTGCTCTTTAAATTGATCGATAAACAAGTTCATTAGGTCTGGTCTCGGTTCTTTTGATACCACCATTATTCCCACAAGTATTACGTATTTAAATCGAATTTCTGGAGGTAGGTCATTAATAATTACAGTTAGAGGCCAAAAACTACGAGGGGAAACTTTGCTACTACTCAAAGGCGCACCGTCTGTACTTAAATTGTAAGTAATTGTTGTAGGAAACTTTTCCGCAGTGCGTCTATACAATCCTGAACTCTGAATGTCTGTTATATTCGATGTATTCCCTCTATCTTCAATATTACTAGTTACTTTTTGCCATAAATATTTCGATACATCTTTATTCTGCATAAGCAGTTGCAATTGATACTCAAAATTTAATGACAAAAAGTAGCTTGGATTAGTAAGACCAATTTCAGCGCTAGTTTCACATTTAGTACATGTTCTTTTATGTTTCTTAATTCCGGATTTTACCGACGAAAATAGAATCTCTTTTTCACAATTGTTACAGTAATAATGGTAAATTATTTTATCCTCCGGAGGATCGATGTTTTTATTTATAATATAATTTGAGACATTCAGATTTTTGAAAGTGGGACCTGCTAAAATTTTTATTACTTCTATTAACTTTAACCGAGCCTTTTCCCCTAAACTGAACTGGATGAAATATCCATACAACATTTCCAATACCTCATTTACAACTAAGTTAGACTGTGGGAACATTAAAACGTTATCCCATCTTGAATTTTCATAACTTGGAAGATCTTCATCAAATTCATCTGCGGAATCTTCGCTGGCACTATCTTCGAAATCGACGTTGGAGTCCTCTTCACCTTCATCTTCTTTACCATCCGTATCACCTGCATCTTTTTCTTTGTCTTTTCCCTCTAGCATTATTGCGTACATTTTTTGCACCATGTCATTGTCGCAGTCTATATTCTCATTTATTAATATGTCTTCTTGCACAATTTGATACATTTCGTGTGTGGTAGGCATTGCTAATCCTTGAACATAGTCATTATTTAATTCTCTTTCCTGAAGTTGACTACTGGCATTTCTCTCAAGATTGAGATTTTTTTCCACCTCCCCTATAAATGTGAATACATGATTAAGGTCAACGAAAATCATCTAGAGCAGGTAGCTCGATGATTTTCAAGAAATATGAAATTAATATATGTGATTCTCCAATCAATAGATTTTGAGCCCCTTTCATCATGAAGTGTCACATATATTAAAAATTTTTAAATTTTTACTCTTACAATAAAATGTTTCTTTATATATAATATTTGAAATATGTTATAAATAGAAAACATTAGAAAAGCTACCACTGAAAAAAGTATATTCTAAATTTAAGAAAATATTGTTATATATGTGTCAAGAATATTATTCTTAAGGTAAGAATATTTCCCAATTAATTTAAGTGGGGAATATTCTTGGCGCATATAAGAATATTTTCTTAAATTTAGAATATACTTTTTTCAGTGATGTTTAAAATTTTTTAAAGGAAACGAAATAAAATTTTAATTTTTAGAGGTATTAATAAATTATGACACTTTTATTAATTTTTACTACAGTAAGTACTCTATGTAAATAAATCGTTTCATTTTCATGTAGGGCAATCAATCATATTATATATATTAAACATTTAAATCCAGTCAAAAGTATTTAGTGAGAATGTTAATTTATTGTTTTTTTAATTGTGATTAATTCTATAAATTCACAATCACGTGTGTAGTTTATATATACCAAACAAGTAGTATTATTACAAGAAAAGTTATTCCATTATATATATTAACTTAAAAATATCAAGCATAATTAAAGTTATTAAACAAAAATTAAAAATTAGTTTTAAAGTCAATTTTATTTTACATTAAGCAAGCTTATTGACAAAATTTGAACAGAAAATTAATTTCACTTTGAAAATATTTTCTTTCAAATAAATTCAAATACGTTTTTTTTGATGAAAATAACTTTTCCATAAAATTTTAAGAATTTAAATCATCTAAATAAAACCTTCTAAAATTTAGGTAATTAAAATTTTGAGTAATTATAAAACATATATTATAATTTTTCTTTTCTGCAGCTAAAGGAGATATTTATTCTACTTTCGAAATTCATTTGAAAAATAAAAAATCTTCAAAAATGACAAAATAGGAATTTAACTGGTGCCCGATTCTAATTGAATGAAAATAAAATTTGCAAAAACGATTGATGATTAACGTTTAATACTTTTTATAGGATCACTAATAATACTGTTTTGTAAATCTTATTGACAAAGTTCTTTTTTATCTCTTTCTTTGAATGAAAAGTTATTTACGCTGATATATCTAGGAACATTTTTTATATTTAATGTGTTTCTTAATAGATAAATAAAATTTTTCTTAGAAAAATATTTTTAAAATAAAAAAATATTTTTGAATATTTTTCAAATTTCCCATATGATTTTGAAAGAAAAAGAAATTTCAGCTTCGACATATATTTTTTTAATTTAAAAAAACGATATTTCTTACTTCGAAAATTAAAATATTCTTATTATTTTTTATAAAACATTTTTTCAGCAAAATAAAAAAATACTTATCTATAATATTCTTAGAAAAATAATACCTTGAGAACGACATTGATTTTCAGTCCCTATTTTGTCAAACCTAGCTGATTTAAAAATAATTCGATTCAAAATTTTACAAAAATTTAGGAAAAGAAGTTTAGAGTAGTCAAACTGTTCTTACTATTCCCAGCTAAAAAGTAAAGCAAAAACCTAAAAATCAAGATTTTTCAAAAGCTTTGTGAAAAATAGAGGACAATTAGGGGAAATTTTCAAAATAGGATACTTTTAGGGGATCGAAATGAAAAAAGGGGACTTTTAGAGAATTAGGGGACAGCCTGTAAAGCCTGCCGCCCCATTTTTGATTCTTTTCTACAGTTTTCAGAATAAGTCCAAATAAAAAAAAAATATTTTTGTGAATGCCAATAAGATATTAATAAACTCTTTTTTAAAACATTGTATAGAATTTTTTCTGTTTACTTACGATATTTCATTTCCATCTTGACCTTCGTTGCTTCCACTTTCTTTGCATTTCGTTTCTTCTTTTTCCTTGAGTAGGAATGTTCTTTTTCCAACAATCGTTCGTTATTCTCCATTGTTAAAAAAAGTTTATAAATCCTGTAATATATAAATGAAAATTACTTTTGCAATCATCTATGAATTATATAAATTTCTTTAAGAATAGTAATTAAATTTCATATAATAAACAATTGTTTTATTTAAACATATCGGATAAAATAGAAACTATTGATTAATAACCAATTTGTATTATAAAGTACGAATGTACAAATTACAATTAAATGAAATGAAAAAAAATCAAGTGGAATAGTGATATGTTTCACTAAAATAGCGCAAAATTTTTCTACTTAATTGAAACATTATTATTTCCATAAATACAAAAATTCGATTATAAAACTGCGAGATTATACGAAATCTCGTCCTTAATGATCTACAACAATTTATTCTATTGAATTTTTTTTTGTCTGTGAAATAAACAATTTCTAATGTTTTTAAGGTTCTTTAAATCAAACAATATACAATACAACAGTTCTTGATTTTTTTGAACTAAAAACCGTCTTGTACAGTAAGTGAAACGTAATTTTATTCAAATTTCAAAAAAATGCATACAGAGTGCATAAATTATGGCGTGCTCTAAAAAATAATATTTATATATTACAAAAAGATTTAAAAAAGTATTTTGAACTTTTCTTATTACAAAAAGATTTAAAAAAATATTTTGAACTTTTCTTCATACAACTACCAATATAGATGCACATTTAAACAATTATTAATTTAATCATGTAATATAAAATTTTTTTCCCTGATGTGATTGAAGTATTCTTAACTTTTTCATGTGCTTCAATTATGTTGAGTACGATATTCACATTATATACTCGTAATTTTATCCAATGTAATTTCACACACCGGGACTAATGAAAACGCGAAACAATATGTACAAGGTAGCAATAAATAAATTTAGTAAAATTCAAAATTTAAGAAAAAAATCAATTCCAGTTTTCAAAGACTTGACAAAATGCACGTCTAATTCTAGGTTTTAAAGATTTCAAGGTCAGGTATGACCACCCTAATATAATAAATTTGTTTAAAAATTAATCGATTTTAATAAAGATATAAGTTTTCTTTTATTATCTAAATGACAAGCTATTTCATCAAATTAAGCTATAAATTGAATTCTTTTTTAAAAAATGTTTAATTTTTTTATGTCAAATGTGTCTAAACTGTTATAGAACTGCACCGTAACTAGTGTAATGTCAGAAAATTAAATGTTTAAATTTTTAAAATTTTTTTTAAACTAGTTTTGTCAATTTAAAACGCCCAATGGCCGTTGTGAAACGTCCACAACTAGTTTTGGCAAAAGTGCGTCTGCCAAAACTAGGTTTGGCTGTTTTTTTCGGCCATTGGCCGTTTTCGGCTTTTGAGCCTAACATATGTATCTATAATTTCTGCGAATTATATATTGACCACATTTTAGGTTATGTTTATTTATAATCTGCCTGTAGATTCTGAAAATCTTATTATTCACATTAGACGCACATAATAGAATTACAAGAACTTTTTTGAGCCAATAACTGAAATTAATAAATTTAATTATATATACCTTTACCACTGTGTATGGCTATACACAAAGGAAAACCGCAAAAAAAATTCTTAGACCGCAAAAATATTTATTAAACAACTTTTTACGTCTGTGTATCATTTATCGTAAATTACCTCAAACAAATATAAACTGTTACTCCTTCTATAAAAGAAATAAAAACTGTATTTTTCTGAAAGTGGAAAACACGTGGTCCTTATAACGACTGTAATTTAAACCCACATAGCGTCAAGTGTCTATATAGGTTGTGACGTCATTTTACGTCATTTCTCTACGTCACGTTATCAGGGCCGTAAGACCGCTTGAGTTGGGATCAAGCATAAATGTATATAATAGAAAGTTCTGTACAACATTGTTTTAGGTCTGTGTAAAATGTGGTATTATTTAATATATATACATTGCATTATTATAAACCTCGCAGAAATTTGAGAAACTTTAAGATATAATATACGTAAAAGTCAAATTTCAATGCGTAGATAGGTACTGCACTGTTGGAGGTCACAAAAGGAATTTGTGGCATGCATCCACCAACAAGTGTTTCAAGAATAAAGATCAAATGCCGCGCAATATCCTTGCTATACAATTTACTATGTAATTTTCGTTTCATGATTATGTTTGTGTTAATTATTTACTTGTAAAAAAGAGTGGTGAAAATGGCAAAACCTTTGAGTAATGCGAAATTTGCACACGTTTTTATTTATGATGATCGTTGTTACAATACTGTGCCCTTGAGCAGTATACCTTCATTTAAATTAAATGGAAATTTTATACCTGCAGAAAAAAGATATAAATTTATTTGGCAGAATAGATCGGTGGAAGGAATCGTGCTTGCAGTAGGAGGTAAGAAAAATTTGTAAATATATATACTATAGTTGCAAAATTATCTTTTCCAAATTAAATGATTAGACAGGTTGTCATAGTGTTATAGATTTTAAAACTAGTGTAAATTTTCCAAGTGTCTACTACATAGATCAATCTATTCGATGCAGAAAATGATTGGCTGTATTATTATTATATTATTTTATTAAATAAAAAATCAGTTCAAGGGTACCACAAGTCATAGAAGTCAGAGAAATGTCGGACAATTTTTTAGCTGGGAAATTTTTCGAAATTGAATAAAATCTAATATAAAAAATAAGTCCAAAATTAAAAAAAATTATAACAAAATTTTATGATTTAGAATATTAATGAAATATGGCAACCCTGCAGATGTATTAAACATTAATACATTAATTTACGTTAAGATAGAAAAGAAATGTTTTTAAAATAATGGAATAACTTTGGACCAATAAATTTTTTTTATGTGAATTAAAAGGTAATGTAATAAATTATTATCTCACAAAGGAAGAAAAAGAATTATAATAAATACTGACTTATATAACTTGTAAAGCATTCAATTTATGAAATTTATGAATAATATAAAAGTTTAATTATGTCAACAAAATTAATTGTGAATTTTATTTTTAAAAAATTAATTCGTTTTAAAGAAACATTTATTTTTAATTGTGGCATTTTAAATATAAACAATTTTTTTTCTCTATTTCTTTAGTCAATTTAATTTTCATTTTCTATATAGTCAAAACAATAATAATAATAATATTATTAAATATTTTAGAATTAGTATCTGTAATTAAAATGCTCACTCAAAAATAATTTAAATTTAAAAAAGAAATGTTACAAAAAATTTTTTTAAAGTATAAAAACAAAGAAAAGAGGAAAAAATTAAAGTTCTTGTTGTTTTTTACAATTTAAATAAATATCCTTTTTTATTTCTATATATGAAGTACGATAGAACTTAGTCCTACATTGTAAATTGTTAAAGCTGTTTTTTTGCAAATCTCATAGGGTGTCGAGATTTGTTTTGACGAGATGTTTTGACGACAAGAATATTTATGAACTGATATTTAAAGCAGGAAGAATTTTAACGTATTATTAAAATCAGTAACTATTACTTGATTATCTTAGGATCTCAGACTTTTTAAATTTTAAAAGAATTAAAGTTTTAACTGCAAAACAAGAATAATATTCTTTATATTATAAAGACTTTCAGAAATCCTCTTTGAAATTATGCAATAAAAACTGTATAATTATGTTAATTGTTTAACACTATATAGAACTATAGTGTTAAAACAACACACTGTATGACTTCATATAGTTTGTATCGCAAAATTTTAAAAGATAATTTAAAGCCTATTTTTATGCGGTAAAATTTTGATAAAAAATTAGTTAGATTCCTTTTGGACGAGCGGTTTTATTTTTATATATGAGAAATTGTGTTTTATGATAATATCTCTTAAGTTTATTTTTTCTCATTTCTTATATTGCTTATAAATTATAAAAATTTTTTTTGTGGAAATAAAAAATATCATTTACCATAACAGCAACTGAAAGTGAAGTTATTGAACAGTACCAAAATAAAGGAAGAAAAAGGAAAGCAATTCCTGCAAAAAAAATATTGCCGTCTGCTACTGATGAATCATCAACTGAGGAAGAACGTTTTCCCAAAAAAAAGAAGATGCCACTCAAAAAACAGCAGGTTATGTATTTTATTTTTTTATGTTTTTATGTTCATAAAAATAATTAACCATAAAATTATTTACAGGGCCCTCACACTACTGAGAAAATACAAGACTATTTAAAATTGGGATTAGATAAATTGAGACAAGACAATTTTTTAACACCTATTGCAACGATGCCACCACTTATTGCAAAAGCGCCACTATTTTTTGGAAAAGCGATAACACCCACTACAAAGGGTCAAACATCTTCTGCACAGGCTCAAACACTTGGTGAAAACCTGCAACCTAATGCTGCGAAGGTGTCAACACCTTCTGCACAGACACCAACACCTGCCGGAAAGACTCCAACATCTATTTTAAATACGAAATCACCTTCTACACAACCACAATCGCTTGTGGCAATCACACAACCACCTGCTGCGAAGGCAAAAACAAAGATGATATCACCTATTTTAAAGACGCAACCATTTACTATAAAGACGCCATCACCGATGTCAAAAACAAATCCATCTTTTTCTCACATAAAATCACCTGTTGCAACCACGTTACCATCAATAGTGAAGGTGTCAACGCCTGCTGCAAAGACGTCATCATTTGAAGAAACGCAAGCACATGTAGCAAAAACGCCACTTTCTGCTGAGAATAATACATCATTAGCTAAAAAGACGCTGTCACCTCCTGCAAAGACATCAGCAGTTGTTGAAAAAACATCAACACCATCTTCAAGCAGGACATCACCTGCTGCAAAGACGCCCCCGTCTGCTACACATACGCAACAACTGACATGGGTATTTTGCTTACATAATAATTTTTAAAATAAAGTATTCGTCTTGTAAGATTTTGTTTTTTAATATGTGTTTTTAAACGTTATATGATTAGATTTTTATTAAAAATAATTATTTGTAATAAAATATTTATTTATGTAAGGGAATTTTATTTTTTTATTGTTAGAGAATTGTTAGAAAAATATCTGGGAAATTAGAAAACAGATTCTTTTGGCAACTTACTTCTTCTTAGATTGAAAAAAAACATTTTTAGAGTATATTACCTAGATATTATTTCAGAAGATAATAAAACAAATAGTGAAATTCTGGTAATAATCAATAATATTTTGTCAATAATATTTTTATAAATATTAAATTATTGTAGAACTCCTTCAACGATGACCACAGAGAGATGGATACAGAAACAAATTGGGCTACAATCAATCGAGCAGTAGTATCATCACCTTCTGAAGAGAAAAAGGTAACGTTTTTAATGAGAGTTTTTAAATTCGTATTCAATAGCGATAAAAAATCACTCAATTATTATAGATCCCTTATAATGCCCAAAGTATTGGAATCGATCAAGAAGTCAATGTAAGCGAGAATATTCTTGTTATACCTTGGAATAAAGAGATTCAGGTAATTTTCTTAATATATTAATATATTATTTTGGTGATTTAAAAGGCTTTTCGGTCATGTTAAGTATTAAATTTTTATTATTTTCAAAAATATAAAAATTATAAAAATTATAAAAATGTCGACCAATCACCAAAATATACTTAACGGTCACTAACTTCAAATAAATTAATATATTATTATTTAACAATTTATTAATAAATACTTTGTAGGAGAGCAATGAATCCTTAATAATTGATCCATTGGAAGTAACTATTGACTTTGAGAATACTATGGATGAAAATATTGAAAATTCTCGAGAATCAAGCAGTTCAATAGAAACTTCAAAAACTTGTAATTTTCAAAATTTAAATGATGAAGTGAGTTATACAATTCTTTACATTAATATATGGATGTGAAGTGAGAGTGAGTGTCGGAAAAGCATAGTCGACCCTGACGAATTTGTAAAAATTCAATTAATTATTAATATTACTGTGTATAAAATGCACTGTTTACCTTTTAATTCAAGTACTGAATTTATCTTTAATTTTTTATAAAAATACTTCAATTATAAAAAAATTCCATTTTTAATTAGAATGTTTAATTTCATCGATTGTTTACATTTTAACCAAAGTTAACAGAATTTGTCAGATCAGGTTATGCGGTGCTTTAAACATCCCTTTTGTTGGTAATCGGATAGTACTGAACATAATATTGGAACCGAATGACTTATGACTTTTGTCATAAGGTCCCTTATATCTTGGAGTGTCATATACGTTTAACTTTTTTATGATTCGATTTTACAACAATTTAAATGTATAAATGATAAAATCTGAAATAAATTTTTTTTTCTGTAGTCATCCATTGCTCCTGAGGAGACAATAAACAAAGAAGATTTAGTGTCTTTCGAAAAAGGATACATAAATATTAAAGAAAAGTGCAAAATTCAAGCCAAACAAATTTGTGATTTAAAAAAGAAAGTGAAGGAACTGAATCTGTGTAAAGCACAATCAGAAATTAAGATTTTGGAAAAAGATAAGAAAATAGCAGAACTCAAATCAGAAACTACTACTCTCAGACGTTTAAATTACGAACACCAAGAGAACGTAGTTAATGGGTTACATGGATTGAGAGGTAATGTAATTGAATTTTTTATGAATATATGGATTGTCTTTATTTACAGCTTTAATTCTCGCTATATTAGTACGAAAAAATATTGTCTGAATAATATCTTAATTATAATGGTTTTTACAGAAAGCCTTGTAGAACGGAATAGGCAGATAAATTTAAGTAACTCAACGCTGGAACCGCGCGTAGGAAGACGATCGGCAGATGGAAAACAAGTGAGTATTATAATCACCCTTGCTCATTTAAAATTATAAATGCATCTGTGATCAATTATTTACCATTTTTAAAGAAATTTTAGTTATTATTAACTTGAACTTTTTGAATTGATTTTTTTTACTTCATATCTAATATTCATATATTAAAAATTGTTATAAAATTTATTATTTTATAAAATATTGTAATTTTTTGTAAAGTAAATTATTTCTTATCAATAATAGCAATATTGCCATCAAAAATGGAAATAAAACTTAGTACGCAAGTGCTTATGATGTTAAAGTATTGTTAATGGTTTCAATAAAATCATTTTTTGTAGATGCACATGGGAAGGGGTAAATATATTGATGTGGAAGACTTTTATACGATTGCTAGTGAGGCCACATCTAACATATGTGCCTTACCTAAATTGCTGGCACTCCATTTATTCGGGAAGGATGTACTGTTAAAAAGTACAATATCGGGCAAAACAAGCAACCGTTCTAAGGGTAAAGAGAATGTCGAAAAATTAGATAAAGCAACGATACTTGCAATATCAGGTGTGTTATATAACAAGATTATTGAAGATTATTATTTTATATATTTATTTGTTTAAAATTCATGTAAACACATTTCTTTATAAAAATATTATATTATGTGTACAATTTCACGTGAAATTTTATACCACATTTTTAATTTTCGTCTAAAATATATTTTTCGTTCTTTACAGAAGTAACTATGTATAACTAGTTTACGCGTTTCTCAATGCTCTTTATAGATAGCCAAATTTTCTAAATAATTCAGCAGTTTAATAAAATTTAATTTTATTATTATTTATTTGTGAATATTAAGAACAGTTTCTAAAAAATTTTTCTGCTGTTTACCTGATAAATTTTTTGTTCAAATACATTCTTTGTTTTACAAATCAATCTTTATTTTTCAAAAAAAGAATTTTTAATCTTTATTGTATTTCCTTTACTAACACAGAATTTGTACTGAATTTTTTTTCAAAATATTTGAAAACAAAATTTATTCAAATTATAATTTTTTATGTAACTATTTTTTTAAGATATTATGATGAATTTTGCCAATTCACATCTAGAAAATATTTGCCACTTAGAAAAAAAAGAGAAAAAAATATGTAAATCTATTTTATGTAAGAAGCGCAAAATAATATTTTTTACGATACTTAAACTGTAGACTAAAATTTCACACAAAGTCAATCAGATTTTTTTTTCTTATTTTTATTTAGAAAAAATTATATATCAAAAAATACTGAATTTTAAAACATTTTGTAAAACGTTTTTAATGACAGATACCTACTCTTATTGGCTGGAAGAAGCGAAAGCTTATGAACGGAATGACGCAGACATGGAGGCAATGTTTACTTTGAATCATCTATCCCAGTACATTGGAAATATGAAATCCAAAAATAAAGCCAGTAAGAAGTTTTGCATGTTAATTAAACATTTCATATTTTTTTCATAAATCATAATTTTCAAACATATACATTCTTTTGTAATTTCAGAACTATCGAAACCCAAAAGTGCCGGTCGGCTATTAGGTCAGGAAGAAATACAGGAGGAAGATATAGTAGATTTCATTGAGGAGAGGGAACATGAAAAAGAGATGGAGGAAGGAAGCGTGGAGAAAAATCAAGAGGAGATTTCGGGCAAGAGAGATGAAGAAGAGGAGAACATAGCTCCTGAAGATGAGGTAGAATCAAGAGATTCGGCAATACAAGATATGTATTGCCGTTAAGATGTTAATACGTTATTCGTTAAAAACACGACTCATGCTGATCTGTGATGTGAACAAAGCAATTGTAAATTGCACAATAATGTATTACCAAAATGTAGGTAGCAATATGTGTACCCATACCAGAGGCTTTTTATTTTTATTTGAAAATTTGAAAATTTTATAAATATTTTCATGTTTCCGTACTGTGAACTTGAAAATGCATAATATAAAACGTCTTTTTAATATTAAAATTTGCCTATTATTGTTTCTAAATGAATATTGTTAAAAAATGTATGAAAATTTTAATGTAAAATTTTGCTAAACTTTTGTAAAAAATATCCTTATAAGCAAACTTTTAATTTTAGATAGACGTTTCCAGACATTTAATTAAATGCCAAAAAATTCTATTGTGTTATATATTACAAAAAAAATGTAATGAAATTTAACGAAGCAGTATTTTCAAAATATTTATATTGTATTATTATGATTAATATTATTGTAAGTGTTAATTGTTCTTGTTTCGATGATATGTAAGCGAAAATAATGTTGTTATTAATTAATTTAAAAAATGAAACAGTATGAGTGCTATAAGCCAAACATAATATGTGTATTTCAGAAAAAAGTATACGCTGCTGGTGATAATTGTGGCACAGTCCATATTTTGCTGAATGAAAAATATTTTTCAACATGAAACTTGAGATATTTGTAAAAAAATGTATGTTTTTTTTAATATAATATAATATAATATAATATATATATATATAATATAAATATATTATTATTAAATTCAATTATTTTACTTACCAGTTTTTATTTATACTTATTTTTTTGTAAAAAGAATAATACTAGACAAATTAACAAAGAATATAATTCTATTAATAAATAATAATTTTACAAAATATAATTACTTACCACTATTCAATGTATTTAACCTAATTTAATTTAATTCACTTCACTGATTCATTAATCCACTAATTAAATTAAATTAAATCAATTAAAATTTATTTTTAAATACTCAATTGAAATTTCTATTTATTTTTTAAAAAAACAAGAAATCTACAATTTTTTATTATCAATTGAAATGTATCACGAGTCGATAAAGAAACGTTTCTCTTTATCATACTCCTCACTTTTACCGACAAAATTCATATTACATCAGTGCACTGTCAACTCAAAAATAACATTTTACAAAACTCGTTATTTATTCTTATTTCAGGTATTTTTATATATTACTTCTTGCTTTTTAACAATAATTATTCATGATTTATCATTTTCTCAACACTCGGACCGATTTCTTCTTTTATTAGACGCGAAATACAATGTTGGTGATTGGGCATAATGCATTGGATGATTGAGCAAACAGTCCAATTGTCCGAATGTCGTTTAGACAATTGGGCAGACGGCTTGCTCAATCAGCCAAATCGCTTGTTCAATAAATCTTTTTTTACTGGGAACCTAAAAATTTCAATTCATTATTTAAGGAATTTGTTTTTAAATTTTCTTTATGAAATGTTTATTTTAATACATATAATGATTCGACTTATTGAAAAAGGGATAGTTAAATATTAATACCTAGTGATTTTTAACAGCCGGATGCTTAAATACAACAGTTTGAGGGTTCAAGTTGTTGTTTATATTATATCCAATTCCTTTGACTTAAACTTGTGTTGGTGTAGGTTGATGGAGTTAAAAGGTAATGATCGAGGAAGAATTTCTCTAGTTATTCAAATGCTAATGGCAGAGCTTCTTCAACAATTACAAATTCAAGATACGTTTCACATTCTTGTAGCGCGCAGTATCTGGACAACAATGCGTCACTTGTACAACGTCTACAAGAATTCGAATTCTAAAAAATTTGCAAATGTTGGACAGCTATTAATCGGTGGATTTTAGTGAAAAAATTCAGAATGTAGATATGCTTTTTCGATGATAGTATTTGGGAATTTTGGAATTTAATTGAGATAAAACTACAAAGAGCTTAGAAAGATATGTACAATGAAATATGATGATTATAAATTACTATGCGAAGAAACGTAAATATTGATTTTTATTTTGGAAATTAAAATTGAATTTTTGGAATTAATTTTTTTTATAATTAGTGAATCTAGTCGTCAAGGAATTAAACATTTTCACTTTGTTTGTCTTCATGTTCTCAGTATTAGCTTGAACACTCTTTCAGAAATAGTTCAATTGATCTGAAAATTATACAAAATATTGAGTTTTTTAAATGATGTGGAATCTTAAATATTATTCACAAGATTAATTAAAGTTTGGGTCAGTATTATGGTGAAGTATAACTAATTATATGTTTAGAACAAATACTACTGGGATACAATCGGTACAACAAATCTTTAATAATTTGTTGTTATTATGCAATGAATAGAGAATTGTGAACTGTTACTTAAAGAAGAACTTAATTTAATTTAATTTTTTATATTTCAAAAGAAAAAGAGGGTTTAGGGGTTAGATGAATAGTTGAAGCAACTTGAAAATTTTATTGACTTTCATAATAGTTTTTGAATTTATTTGAACTCTAAGAGTTTAAGTAATAGAAAGTATTTTTGGATAAAAAAAGCAAAAGGAAATTAGGGATTGATATCCACATTTAAGTGATGAACATTGAGAAATATATTTAAAAAAAATTTTAAGACTTTGAAATAAAAGAAATATACATGGTTTACAATTTAAAAGAAAGTGACAAAATATTTTTAATTTAAGTCGCAATTGAAAAAATGCGATATGATATGAAATATAAAGTACTAAAAATATATTTTTGTAAAATAACTTGAAATATGCGACAAATTGACTAAATTCTACTTCACAGATTAGTCTTTAATACAAAATTTATTATTACCCTCCATTTACGAAATTTTCTTGTGCTTTGCGAATTTTCTTGTTCCTAGTTCTATCCTTTTTTTTCATTTGACTGCCTACTATTTCACCGTTTAAAAGTTTTTGCAATTTTATTTCTTCATCAAAAAAGACATTTTTCAGCTTATCTATATAATTAATAGAAAGATTATTTATACGAATGTGACTTTGAATTAAATTGTGTCAACTCTATTGTGTAATATCTACAATCAAAATATTGTACTTATTATAATTCCTTGGTCAACAGTTTAGATAATATTGAGATTGTGTGTAAATAATAATAATATAAAAATAATTGTTAAAAATTGAATCATAAAAGTAATTTAACCTAAGAACATCCAAATACTTGGATGCTTTCCCCCTACACGTTCCAGAATTGTACTATTAAATGATTCACTGATATTATTCGTTCGTTGAATCAATTTTTCAACAGATACAATATAAGCTTTCTTTATCCACTGTCTTTGTACATATTTAAGAAATTTCTGTAGCCTTTCGTGATGAAATTCGTCAAATTCAAAAATTTTTAAATTTAGCATTCTAATTGCGTTTGCAATTTGATGAGCTGGTAACAAGGGAATCGCCAGTAACATTTCAAGAAATTCAAGAAGCTCAGGGTACTTTTTAAGACCAAGTTTCTTCCATTTTTTTCGGAGAGCCTGCATGAATTAAATATATGTTTTGCTTCGCTACAAAACTACCTTAACTCAAGAGAAGTAATGCTACTTTTTGTAGCAAAACGCCACATAATAATAGTAGTACATATAAAAAAGTAAATTTTAAAAAATTATAATATTCAGGTATCTTAAAAATAACTTTTTAGGTAGAAGCATATAAATCGCTGAGTTATTTCAAAATATTTTTTTTAATATCACATAGCTTCGTATTTGAGTTAGTTTCTAAAATTTTATGTCAAGATTGTAATCAGTTATAACTGTCAAATTTTATGACTATAGGAGGATAAAATGAGATTCAAGTAGATGTAAGAGAGCATTAAGGCGAATTATAAAAGAAAGGGAAAGCAAATCTATGAAATTTATTAATTTAACGCATCAGATGGGTCCAACTTAAAACTTACAGTATTTGATTCTTTGCAAATGATATTTATGACAAAAGAACTGTTTAATAATAATAATTATAATGTCTCAGTAATGATGTATTCACAATGCGGATGCTTCTACTAATATTGACACACTATTCGCTAATTCAACTTTGAGGGCTAAAACTTGTACAGTAAACTAATCACGTTCTCAATATATCATCCAAAGGATAAAATTTTTGCTTGGAATATGCTTATACTATCTAGATTTCTTTTGAAATAAAAATTTTTTACTTTTTTGAAGTGGAACCAGCATCCGTGATATTTAGCAAACCGAAAGCACTGTTTTATGGATTTAATGGCTGCACTTTCAAAATCTCCGGTTACGTGCTTCAAATTTTCCTCAAGGTGTGGACAAATTTCTTGTAATTTTTTAAATATCGCATTATACATTAAAGTTGTTCGTCTTGTGCATAAAGCAAAAATAGTTCCTACACCCTAAAATATAATGGAAATTTATAGGAATATTTTTCATTATTTATGTAAAAGTTATTTTTATCAACTGAAATCTGTCGTGTTAAAAGGTCTTGACTTTTTATTAGATAATTAAATTAATTATTAAATTTATGAAAAATAAAACGTGTAGATTTTTAAAAATTGCATCTTTTACTAAAAATTGATTTTCTTGAATAATAAAAATATTTGTTTTACATTTAAAAATTACTTTTATAAATTTCTTGTTGTGTAATATCATTTTAGGTACTAAAAGAATGTCAAAAAAAGTTTGATATCCCTTAACGAGGTTAATTTTGACTGACTTAAATATTACTGGAGTTAATTTAAAAATTCAACTTTGAATAATGAATTTTTTTTTTGAATTTCGAAAAATAAAGAATAAATTTGGATTCTAAATAATGACAGAAAAAATGCTCCACCTTAACAAATTAAATATTAAATGGTTGAAATTTGAGCGGTCCTACCCTTAAAAATGAGTAACTAGTAGTAAAATTAATATTTTTACTTTTCCACTGATGTACATGTGAATAATGTAGCATTGACAGGCATAGGGCTGACGGGGAGTTATCTGAAAATTGAATGTACACAAAAGCAGGTAATAGCAGATTGAGACTCTTCTAGTGTTAATTTAATGTTATTTATATATAATAATAATGTTCAGGGCGACCGTAAAGTCTCTTTTTTGAAATTCTCTAACTTTTTCCTGA